GAAGCAGCAGTCAAGCAACCAAATGTCATATTGCATTAAGCAAATCTGCTGCACAAAACCTTTTTAAAGTGTTGAAGAGCAAAGATGTTAGCTTGAGGACTAAGGTGCGCTGGACCCAAGCCATGCTATTTTCAGTAACCTCATATGCATGTGAAAGCTGTACAGTGAATAAGGAAGATCATAGAAGAATTGATGCTTTTTGAGTTATGGTGTTGGAGGAGAATATTGAAAGTGTCATGGGCTGCCCAAAGAACCAATAGATATGTTTTGGAAGAAGTGCACCCAGAGTGCTCCCTGGAAGCCAAGATAGCCAAACTTTGTCTCTCATACTTCGGACATATTGTCAGGAGGAATTAGTCGCTGGAGAAGGATATCATATTTGGTAAGGTTAAGGGACAGTGAAAGAGAGGAAGACCCCCAACAAGATGGATTGGCCAAGTGGCAGCATCGATGGACTCAAGCGTGGCAACAGTAGTGAGGTTGGCCCAGCATCGGGCAGTGTTTTGTTCTGCTGTGCATAAGGTCGCTATGAGTTGCCACTGAGTTGATGGCACCTGTCAACAACACCCCCTTTATCTACTCATATGCCTTAGTTATCCAGTGCTTCTGTAATAGAAATGCCACAAGTGGAGGACTTATTTTCTCACAGCTTAGAAGGCTAGAAGCCTGATCTCAGCACAGGCTCTGGAGAAAGGAACTTGTCTTTCAGCATCTATAGGCCCAGCATTCATTGGAGATTTCCATGCATTTTGGCATCAATTTCCCTCTGGATTTAAGAGTTTCACAGTGTAGGCATCCCAGATGCTAAGGACATATTCCACTCCTCGCTCTTCTTTCTTGGTGATCGATCTCTGCTTGCTTCTCTCTCCTCTTATAAGATAAAAGGTTGCATGCCACACCCTGGGAAACTCCCTTATATGCATCAGGGCTCTGATGGGATTAAAGGTGGTATACAACAACAAGAACAAATGGCACTATAGGATAAGCACAGAACAACAGTTCAAACCCACCAGTTGCTCCTCAGAAACCCTATACAAGGTTGCTATGAGTCAGAACTGACTTGAAGGTACTTAACAATAACAACAGTCTTACCTTTAATCCTTTTATTGGTTTATCTCATCATGGGGGATCGTCACATAATTTCCAAACCACTGAGAATCGTGGCCCAGCCAAGCTGACATATTCTGGGAGGACACAATTCAATCTGTGATACTGTGTAAGGGATAGAGCTTATATGTAATATACATAATGTAAGCTATTACTTTATGTATATGAACCTTCCCCCAATTCAGCCCCTTTGTTGGCATCCAGGAAGTCAATTCTTGCTTCAGAAAAAATTATGCCCTCTTCAAGAATAAGGAAAGAGTAAAATACTGAATTGAATGTCTTCAGAAAATATGACATGGTCTACTTTATTATAATATTATGCAATAAATACATATAATGTAAGCATGATTAGGGTTTTTATGCAGTTATGTATAAAACTAAATATATAGAACCTTGAAAATTGTGTTTTAATGTATTCCATCTCGTCAGTACTTATTAGGGTATATATGACGGCATATAGTGCATGCTTTTATTACCTAGTGTGTGTATACAGACAATCCCCAGGTTATGAGTATCCAATTTAAGGACAGCTCGTACTTGCCTTTTAAATCAAAAGTGTATCTAGGATACAGTTTTGTGTGGCAGATAGGATGCTTGGCCTAGGCTTAGTTTGAAGCAGGTACTCGTCTGAGCAGTTTCTGTTAACTTGATGGTGGGGAAAAAACAAAACGTCATTCTGACAACCTAATTTGGTACCTAAAGTTTTGCAAAACAATATTAGGAGAGGGCTGCCATTTTAGTACTTGCAATGCACTAGGTAATCACTGCCTTTAATGTTACGTAAATTTACCCTGGAGTTGAAAGGATTGAAACAACCCGTGTTGCTGTTAAGTCATAGCAACCCTGTATACGGTTTCTGAGAAGGGTTTTCAGCAGATTTGAGCCACTGACCTATAGTGCCACAACAGGAACCAACCCCTACTAGCAACAAATTCTTCTTGTGCTGCCTGTACTGCTTTTAACCTATCAAGCCTTCAAAAGGGCAGCATTTACCCAAGGACAAAGTACATAAGGGTTGGGAAAGGAGAAATGGAAACAAAAAACACAGAAAGTGGGATAAGTGATGTTACGTAGAAAAGTGGGATAAGTGATGTTACGTAGAAAAGTGGGATAAGTGATGTTATGTTGAGGGGATTGTAATCATTGCATTGAAACTAAGTCTATGATTTGTTGAATGTAAAACTGGTGATCTGCTCTGTGAACCTTCATTCAATTCACAATTAA